AAAAAAAAAAAAAAAACATTATTGGACTTTTCCATGCAACATTCACCTTCCCCACTTTTACCTTTTATCTTTCGGCATCATTATGAGGTCAGAATTACAGTGCAGTACAGTACTTTGAACCTGCAGCACTAATGACCCCTTAGTCTCAGCTGTACTTTGTTTTTAGTGCCAGTTAGAAAATATTAGCATGCTAACATGTTGAAGGAATAGTTTGACATTTTCCTTTTTGCTTTCTTGAGGAGTCACAGTAGACGAGAAGCTCAGTATAACTCATATCTGCCCCGTAACAGCCATTTTGGCACTGTCATTGCAGGGTTAGCATGCTGACATTAGCATTTAGCTCAAGCATAGCCTCGTAAAGCTGCTAGCATGCCTGTAGGCTTTGGCTTTGTTCTTTGTTTGTTTTATGGCATTTTTTATTAATATTGTAAAGAATTTAGCTTTCTGCCCTGCTGTATATAAATAAAGATTATGGCCTCTCCTCTCCCTGTGAGAGTTCTGTGATACTCTGCCCTCCTCAAGCAAAAATCAAATCTAATTCATTAACGTTTATTTGTCCCCCAGGGCCAGTGGAGAGCCCTGGGCTGTGGTACAGCAGACAGCAACACAAAGACAGATTAATAACATGGGCTGCGTCCCTAACAGTCATGCATGCACACTCACACGCCCCTGTTGTTGTAGGAATAGATTTTCCTGACCTGTGCTGATCAATGTGAACGTCCCTGTGGCAGCACTGTGTTAAGCTGATTGCTTGCAGGTCCTCAGCCTGCATTATTAACCAGCTCAATGCACGCTGGAGGCCATATTGGACACACAGTGGGGGGTTTGCACGCTCATATTGCACTTGCCCTATTTACAGTAGCTTCCTAACGAACTAACTAACTCCTGGTGTAACCACATGCTACCACACACACTTGCAACCTGTAAGTCAGCTGATAGTTGACCTTTTCTTAAACTGCTCTGAGGCCTTAGCTGTAACAGACTGAAAGTCACATGGCCTTCTCTTTCTATAGGCCTGTATCACACTCCCACTGCTGGAGCAGACTCATTAGACACCAGCTGACAAATGCTCTGGGGCCAAAAGTGCATTGTCACAAGTTTTCAAGACATTTCTCACATTCCCCCCCCCCCAATTAAATCTAAGCAATCTGTGTCTGACCACAGCATTAGTTTTGAGGTCAGCTGTGACCATGGTGGCAGTTTTCTCTGACTTTGGATATATGCATGTCCTATTTGTACTTGGACATGGAATATAAAGCAACTAATCTACCAATTATATTTAATCTGTGTGTGTGTGTGTGTGTGTGTGTGTGTGTAAATGTTGCAGACCTCTCATTGCCAGCAGCAATGTGAAACTAAATATAGTCCAAATGAAACTGACCTCAAAAGCAAGTATCCTAGGACACTGTTGTAATTAAAACTACACTTGTAGTTTTCAGCTTCTGTGTCTAAACCGTGTGTTTTCGTTGTCAGGAATATGAAACAAAGAGTGGCAGAGCTGGACCTGGCAACCCGACGTCTCCCAGGCAGAGCGTGAGGAAAAACCTGGACTTTGAACCCCTCTCCACCACCGCACTTATACTGGAGGACAGACCTGCGTATGTAAACACACGCAGACACACACTGTTGTTGGACTATCCCACATTTTTCATTCTCCTTCACTGCCAGTGGAGTTCAGACAATAAAGCCTCGGCTGTTGTCCTTCTATCTCCATCTTCCCCTCATTCCTTCTGTATCAGTCCTCCTTCCTCTGCCGAGTCTTAAGGCTCTATTCAGTATTGTTCCAGCTCTCTCTGTGTGCCTGTTTGTATCACAGACGTCGAAAGAGAAGTGCTGCTGAAAGTTTAATGACCCTCCCTCAGCCTGGCTCCATTACCCTGCTTTTTTAGCATTTTGCATTTTGTTAACAGACAGACAGACGGATATATGCTGGGCCTTCTGTTTCATTCAGTAGCGCTGCTCAGCTGCAAGATTAGCACTTCTGCTGGGGAACGCAGCAAATACAAACAATAGCATGATTTCACTAGATTTCCTGTGTGAACACAAGGAAGTTTATTCTGACACCATGACTGGCAAAACTGTGTGTTCTGCTGCTTAGGTCTTTTGATGAATGCAACCTCCCTCTTTTCCCTCTTCACTGTCTCCCCCTACTGGTAGAAATAATCTAGAAAAGTGCAGATGGTGTTAAAGTTTCAGTGTTATTGGCTGGGAGAAGAGTATCGTATTTTGTTTTAGTATGCATTTGAAAAGACAAGCACTGGAATCAAATGTGATTGATACATGGTAAGTATTCAACTCTTGAGATTCAGCAGAAAACACTCATCACTCTAAAATCACATTAACCTCTACTGATGAAACCCAATAAAACATTTAGTTGCTATCACCTATATTTACAGAATGAGCATGCTATAAAATGACAATATCTTACCTCTAGGTCCACTCACTATCTTTTTCTGGAGCTCTCAACCACATCACAGGGTTGATCGGCAGATACAGAACACTTGTGTGGTTAAATGCTCCAGAAAAAAACAGCAAATGCACCTTGAGTTCATTGTTTTTTCACACTATTTGCATTGAACAAATGCATCGTGCTCCAATGTCAGTTTTGTAGCCGTTGTGGAGCTTTCAGTCATATGACATGATCTTCATCAGCAGAAATTGTTGTTCTGAGCAAAGTCATGAAAAGGCTCCTGGCCGTTCCTGTCTGTGTAGGTTTTCCTCTCTTTGCACCACACTAGCCTGCTCCACATGAATAATGCATGGTAAGCTCAGAGAACACGCAGTCGCTAACCCATTTCCTATCTGTTAATGTTCCAGTAATCTGCCTGCCAAGCCAGCCGAGGAGGCACAGAAGCACAGACAGCAGTATGAAGAGATGGTGGCCCAGGCCAAGAAGAGAGGTGAGGTCAATTGACAAAGCAATCGAGGCTCCCTTACTATCTTCTTTCAGAGCATTCAACCGCACACAGTAAGGTCCTCTCTGGTAGTAATGTATTTTGATCCCTCCTGCCTTTAGTAAACACCTGCAATTTAGTTTTCCTCCACTTTTCCTCTCTCTATCTCTGTCTCTCCTCAGACTGGTTTCTTCTATTAACCACCATATCTAACCACCTCTCTCCACACTCCTGTCTGCAGAGTTGAAGGAGGCTCAGAAGAGAAAGAAACAGCTGGAAGATCGGTGTAAGCTCGAGGAGAGCATCGGCACAGCCGCCCAGACCTGGAACCAGGAGATCTTGCCTAACTGGAGTACAATGTGAGTACCAACAAAGACTGAGAATATTAAAGTATTTCATATCCAGTCAACAATATAGTATACAATATTTACAGAAATCATCCGTATCTTATAAAAACATCATCATTACTGTCAATTACCTATTGCAAACATTCTGATGTATTACTTTGTGTTAGAAATAACCAGAGCCAGATTCACTGGCAGGCACCAGCCCACATTTATGAACTTATGACCAGCACTAAAATAATCTTTGCAAATATGAGGATTTTTTTTCCCCCCTGTTTTTTTGAAACTTACACCATTTATAATATATAGTAATATATGTTGGCATACAGTTAAATGGCCAGGCCCATAGTTTAATAAGTAGAATATGTTGCCCCAAGCATAAAAATGATTGCACAGTTAATGTATATCTCATTCACCCATTAAATCATCTGTAAAATGCAGGGTGTCTGCAGGGTCTTAAAGTCTAAAATCCTATAATAATTAGAATGTTAGGCCTTAAAATATGATTTTGACAGGTCTTAAAAATTAATTGGATTATTAAATGTACGGCGCTTGTATAAAGTTATGTTTCAGTCAGTCAGTATTGATGATTCATTTTTTGCCAGAATGGATGTAAAATGGGTCTTAAAACGTCTTAAATTGAACCTGCAGAAACTCTGTTATTGTCTGTCTGCTTTCCATTCTGTCCATCAAATCATCACCACAGCAGTTGACCAGTTTTGGCATGTATTGTGATGTTCCTGTTGGCTCCATATTGGGAGCATATAGTGAACAGCTGCTGTCGAGCAGCACTGCAGGGAGAAAATACAAACCAATCATATGCAGACATAATGATTGATTATGAGATTAACAAAACACAACCTGTTTTACCAGCAGAACTGCCTCTCATTCATGCCAGCATGTTGATTTGAATTAATATCACTGTCAGTGCCTCTGTTCTCCTAATCATACTTTCATACTCATATTGTTACTCCTCCTTCTCCACAACTATACACATTGAGTACTATGAATTAGAGGGGAGACATTGTGAAATATGGGGTAATAATATATGAGGAGTAAAAAACAGTTCAGTTTTACGCTGAAGGAAAGTCATTTCCTGCTCTTAATGTAGAATCAGGGACTGCAGCAGTGGAAGAAATGGCCGGTCGATAAAGGATTTCCTCTATGAAACACAATTATTAAGCAACGTCCGATCTCTTTTACTTCTTTTCACATATACCCCTCCTGCAGGTGCACATCTCGCCGAGTGAGGGACCTCTGGTGGCAGGGCATCCCGCCCAGTGTCAGAGGCAAAGTGTGGAGCCTGGCTGTGGGAAATGAGCTCAACATCACACATGGTACGTGTGTGTGTGAGTGTGTGAGTGTGTGAGTGTGTGTGTGTGTGTGAGTGTGTGTGTGTGAGTGTGTGTGAGTGTGTGTGTGTGAGTGTGTGTGTGAGTGTGTGTGAGTGTGTGTG